GCTCAAGCAATCCTCCTACCGGCCTCCCAAATCGCTGGGATTGACAGGCATAAGCCACTGTTCCTGGCCAAGACAGATGCCTAAGGCTGGATGAGATTCCGGTGCAAGTAGTTTATTAGAAAGGCAGTGGGGAAGCGAGAAAGAGAAGGGAAAGCAACCAAAACAGAAAGCACTGAAGAACAGGTCTCTGCTGTGGGCATCTGGGTTCAATCCCACTTGCCACCTCTGGGAGACTACTCAGACTGCCATGCCCCAGAGTTGTCCCACCTAAGAGAGGAATTGTAGTATTTAACCAGATGTCTTCCAGCCTTGGAGCCTCTACCCTCTGAGAGTCACATCTCTCTCTCCCTCCTTCCTTTCCTTCCTTCTTCCCTTCTTTCCCTGTCTCCCTCCTCCCTCTATCCCTTCTCCCTTTCTCCTCCCTCTCTCTTGAAGGTGGCCCCGGACACCATGTTTGTTCTTGGCCCCACCGGTAGCCATAGTTGATTGGGCCAGAGATAAATAGCTAGACCAATCAGATTCCCACTAGACTTTGGAACTGGGCCTTTGATCTGGGCTTGCACTTGAACTCTGGACACCTAACTTTGAGAGCACTGTTGGACCACATGCCCTGGCAGAAGCAGAGGAAGTCGGTGTTTAGAGAGACTCACAGTGAGTGCACAGAGACAAGCAAAGGCTTCAAACAAACTGAAAGAGCAATCTCAGCACAGGACAGTTTCCTTTCTGATTCTATTAATAGGTTTTCATGAAGTTGGTCCACATTTCCTGTACTTGAGGTCTGTGAGATAAGTGTTCCAAAAAAATGCCCTTTTCTACCAAAGAAAGTCGTTTAACTTTCTGTAACTTGTAACCAGGAACACACACATACCCTTGACTAAGAAATTCACCATTTCAAGCCCGAAGCCCCATTTCATTCACGATCTGGCTTCCTACTTCACAAAGAAACAGACCACCATTCTTGACATCCCACTCAGTCCATCATTCTCTTTGAATGGCTCAAATGCTTCCATCTTAACTACATGCTCCCCCCACCCACACATACATACACATATCTTCCCTTGACTCCATTAAAAAAGCCACTCTTTTTTTTTTTTTTTTTTTTGAGTGTTGCCCAGGCTGGAGTGCAGGGGCACTCTCATGGCCACTGCAGCCTTGACCTACTGGGCTCAGGTGATCCTTCCATCTCAGCCCTCCAAGTAGCTGGAACTACAGGCATATGCCACCATACCCAGCTAATCTTTTGATTTAGTGTAGAGATGAGGTCTCGCCAAGTTGCCCAAGCTTGTCTCGAACAGTGGACTCAGGTCATCCTCTCACCTCTCCCTCCCAAAGTGCTGGGATGATAGGCTGAACCTCCACACCCGGCTTTAAAGACCACTCTTACCCCTCACAGCCAAACCTGCAGGAAAAGGAGTCCGTGCTTGTTGTTTCCATTTTCTCTCTCTCACTAGTCCTTATGTGCACTATTATTTTATGGGAAGCTGTTTCATTTTGAAGATATGATTTGAAGTGTCTGTGGGATAGTTAGGTCTGGAGGTTCATAGACTACAAGTGTGAAGTTCAGAACACAGTTTTGGTCTGGAGATATAGACTTAACATTCAGCAATTAAAAAAAAATAATACTTCGTAACCCGCCTGGGCAGCGAGACCTCATCTCTACAATAAATCAAAAACTCAGCCGGGTGTGGTAGCGCATGCCTGTAATTCCAGCTCAGTCTTGCGACAGAGTGAGAATCCAACTCAAAAAAAAAAAAAATAATAATAATAATGCATGCATATGGTAGAAAAAACTCACACACAAGGAGGGTGATAAATAAGTCTCTTGTCAAGCATAGTTTAATTCCTCCAGTTCCCTCCCCAGAGACCACCTTGTATGTCCTTGCAGATGGACCAGTTTCATAGGAACCCACACTTGAACAGACCTGAATTAGTTTAATACTTTGCTGTCACCATCTTGAATTTTTTTTTTTTTTTGAGTCAGAGTCTCACTCTGTCGCCCAGGCTGGAGTGCAGTAGCGCGCTCACAGCCACCACAGCCTTGGCCTGCTGGGCTCAGCAGATCCTTCTGCCTCAGCCTTCCAAGTAGCTGGAACTACAGGTGTGTGCCACCGCAACTGGCTAATTTTTCTTGATTTATTGTAGAGACAAGGTCTTGCCAAGTTACCCAGGCTGGTCTCGAACTTCTGGACTCAGGCAATCCTTTTCACCTCCGCCTCCCAGAGTGCTGGGATTACAGGCGTGAGCCACTGTGCCCAGCCACCATCTTGAAATTCTTAAGTTTGTAATAAGGGATCTCCACATTTTCATTTTTTACTCGGCCTCACAAGTTATGTAGTAGATCCTATTGTCAGCTGTCTTCCATGCATAACTAAACATACAGTATACATATATGCCCCCTCCTCCCACACAGAGAAGCAGCCTTGACTTGCAACTCAAGATGTGATACCAAGGTCAGAAGCCAGCTTGCCTCCCCACCTCCCCGCCTCCCCTCTGCCCCCCCAGCCTGTGTTCTGACCCTCAGACTTTACCTGTGACTCTCCTTTTTTTACAGATGAAGATTGCTGGATCTCTCAAAGTCCTGGCAAGAACGCAGTGGCATACTCAGCTAGGGTAACTAATAGTCTCCTGAGGAAGCCAGGGCTAGGGGACCCCTCTTGCAGTTTATATGGGTGAGAAAGTCCAAATTAGCTCTGACTGGAGAAGTAAGAATCTGTCCAGCTACTTAGCAGGCTGGAATAACAGAAACGATAAAGTTAGCTGCAAAGATCACAGGCAACAATATTTCCCTGTAGCTGTCAAGTAGTAATACACCCCTGCCACTTGTTTTTTGTTGTTTGTTTGTTTGTTTGAGTTGGAGTCTCACTCTCATCACCCAGGCTGGAGTGCAGTGATATGCTCATGGCCACCACAGCCTCGACCTGCTGGGCTTAGGCAATCCTTCTGCCTCAGCCTTCCAAGTAACTGGAACTACAGATGAACACCATCACACCCAGCTAGCTTGTGTGTGTGTGTGTGTGTGTGTGTGTGTGTGTGTGTGTGTGTGTGTGTGTGTGTGTGTGATTTATTGTAGAGATGGGGGTCTCACCAGATTGCCCAGGCTGGTCTCGAACCCCCGTGCTCAGGCAATCCTCTCACCTTGGCCTTCCAAAGTGCTGAGATTTCAGGTTGAACCACCACACCTGGCCTCCCCTGCCACTTATAATCGTTGAGTGACCACCACTTTCTCACTCATCAAGAAACATCTTCCTCTAAAATCAGACTATAAAAACTTTGCTCTTTGAAATTACATGATGGGGAATGAAATATTCCACTTTTGCTTGGAGGATTCAAGTCATCTTGACACAGAGAAGCAGGCTTGATCTGCACCTCAAGTGCAGAACTTCAGATAAAGGGTTTCTACACACAACACTTGACATTTATCTTAGCCTTATTGCTTCCATGGAAACAGGGCCCTGGGTCCCCTTGGCAATCCAGACTTGAAGTTAACAGCTTTATACAAACCTGCTTTGCTTTGAGCCCATCAAAACATGATTTCCAGCTGGGCTCGGTGGCTCAGCCTGTAATCCCGCGCCTTTGAGAGGCTGAGGTAAGTGAATTACCTGAGCCCACGGGTTCGAGACCCGCCTGGGCAACTTGGTGAGACCTCATTTCCACAATAAATCAAAAATTAGCTGGGCGTGGTAGCGCACGCCTGTAGTTCCAGCTACTTGGAAGGCTGAGGCGGAAGGATCACTGGAGCCCAGCAGGTCGAGGCTGTGGTGACCGGGAGGGGCCACTGCACTCCAGTCTGGGCAACAGAGTGAGACTCATACTCAAAAAACAAAAAACCATGATTTCCTTTAGATTTCTTCCAAACTCCACTTTCCTCAGAATCCTATATGAATATCATCTTGTCCTTTGTTTGGTGATGTCCTGAAGCTTCTCTGGTAGTGGTCTTCCTCACTGAATAGATCAATAAAGCACACTTTCTTTTTTTTTTTTTGAGTTGGAGTCTCACTCTGTCGCCCAGGCTGGAGTGCAGTGGCCGCTCCCGGCCACCGCAGCCTCGACCTGCTGGGCTCCGACGATCCTTCCGCCTCAGCCCTCCAAGTAGCTGGAACTACAGGCGCGCTACCATGCCCGGCTGATTTTTTGATTTATCGTAGAGATGAGGTCTCGCCAAGTTGTCCAGGCGGGTCTCGAACCCACGGGCTCAGGCAATCCACTCACCTCAGCCTCCCAAAGGCGCGGGATTACAGGCTGAGCCACCAAGCCCGGCTAGCACACTTTCTTTAACTGCTACTTTGTTCCCTGTGGTCTTAGGTGGATTGGGTTAGGTCACGCCTTCGTCAACTCTGGAGCACAAAACGGGGTGGGGAGTAAATTGAGAGGGTCTAGCAGGAAAGATCTAGCACAGAAATAAAGTCCTACCACCATCCCCACCCCCCCAACAAATCTGATTTCCCCCACGGTCTGCAGGCCAGAGTATTGTAAGGGGTTGGGGAAAAAGAGGGAGAGGCCTTCAATCATTCAGTACTCCTATATATCTGGGGCTGAATAAAGGGTTGTAGAAAGGAATGACTTAATCTTTGAGTGGGGCTTGAGGCAATGGAAAGATCTAGGCCCTTTTCTGAGGCACAATGGAAGCTCTGGGTCTCATGACATTTGAAGGGCTGCCCCTTTCTCCCAACCAAAATTAGTCCAAAAAGCAAAAGGAAACGGGGGAAAGGGAGAATTCTAAAAATGCCCGTCCTCTGAACACCATCTTTGTACAGGCATCTGGGGGAGGCCAGCTGGGGTAGGGACATCTGCCAGCCAGGCCTGTAAGACTTGGCTCTTCTTGTTTATCCCTGTCACATCTGGGGCAACTGCCAGGGCCCGCCCCCACTCTGCAGTCATTGGAGGAACTTTGAGTTAAAGGCTTCTGCTAAGAATCAGTAAGTTTCATTTTTGCTGTTACTAGGGGTGGGGGAACTTGTTGTGACCTTGTCTAGGAGGGCTGAATTCTGGTCCAGTCCTGAGCAAGGAACGAGCCTCCTCCCACCATGCCAGCCTGCTGCAGCTGCAACGATGTTTTCCAGTATGAGACAAACAAAGTCACCCGGATCCAGAGCATGAATTATGGTACCATTAAGTGGGTCTTTCACGTGATCGTCTTTTCCTATGTTAGGTAAGTGGGCTGTGGGGAGGACCCCAAATCGATGCCGTAGTTGACAGCAAAGAAAACCCCAAGGTGCAGCTTAAGGTGCACATTCTGAATACCACATGATTTTCAAAACTAAGACAGGCTCTCACAGCAAGCTGGGCAGGCAGGAGGAAATAGCAGGCAAGAGAAAGCAATGCCAGGCTACAGCAGAAAGAAGCCATGGGAGGCAAGTATGCTTCCTTTTGGCTTCTACTCCAGACCTACTAGACTGAGCAGGACAGGGCATGCCTGGGGAAGATGGGAAAACATAGGGCAACACCCTGGATTCCCAGGGAAGAAGCAAGAATCTCAGGGCACACCTGGTGAGAATGCTGGATTCTGAGTCACCATGCTTACGGGGAGGAATAGGATCAGGCTTGTAAATGTGACTTTAGGTCCTCTCCAGTGTCAGGAAGGCCCCCCTGCTTTTTGGTTTTCTTTTGAATGACTTATTGATATAATTCATATGCCAAGCTATTCATACTTTCAAAGTGTACAATTCAGTGGTTTGAAGTTTATTCAGAGTTGTGCAAACCATCACCACAATCAATTTAAGTCTATTTTTATCAGCCCCAAAAGAAATCCCACACTCCTTAGCCATCATTTTGACACTCCACAACTCCCCTTCAGTTCCAGACACCTACTAATTTTCTTTCTGCCTCTGTGGATTTGCCTACTGTGAACATTTCATATAAATGGAATCACATAATACATGGTCCTTTGTGACTGGTGTTTTTCACTTAGCATGCTTTCAGGGTTCATTCCTGTACAGGTGCATTGATACTTCACTCCTTTTCATGGTTGAATAATATTCCCTTGGAGGGGTAGATAACTTTTATTTATCCATTCATCTGCTGATGGACATTTGGGTTGTTTCACTTTTTTGGCTACCATGAATAATGCTGCCATAAACATTTGTGTATGAGGTTTTTTTTGTTTGTTTTTATTTGAGTTTGAGTCTCACTCTGTCTCCCAGTCCGGAGTGCGGTGGCACGCTAACGGCCACCCCAGCATTGACCTGCTAGGTTCTGGTGATCCTTCTGCCTCAGCCTTCCAAGTAGACAGAACTACAGATGTGCACTACCACGCCCGGCTAATTTTTGATTTATTGCAGAGATGAGGTCTTGCCAAGTTGCCTGGGCTGGTCTCAAACCCGTGAGCTCATGCAATCCACTCACCTCAGCTTCCCAAAGTGCTGGAATTACAGGCTGAGACACCAAGCCCAGACTGTGTATGAGGTTTTATGTGAACATATACTCTCATTTCTCTGGGACATATAACTAGGAGCGGAATTGCTAAGTCATGTGGTGAGTTTATGTTTCACCTTTGGAGGAACTGTCATGCTGTTTCTCACAGCAGCTATACCTTTTAACATTCCCACCAGCAGAGTATGAGGGCTCTGTGTTTCTCTACATCCTCACCAACATTTGTTATTGTCTTTTTTTATTGTAGCCAATGTAGTGTGTGCAGAGTGATATCTTATTGTGATTTTTTTTTTTGTCTCATTGTCACCCAGACTGGAGTGCAGTGGCACACTTCCGGCCACCGCAGCCTCAACCTACTGGGCTCCGGTGATCCTTCCTCCTCAGCATTCCAAGTAGCTGGAACTACAGGCATGCGCTACCATGCTTGGCTAATTTTTGATTTATTGTAGAGACGAGGTCTTGCCAAGTTGTCCGGGTGGGTCTCGAATTCACAGCTTCAGGCAATCCACTCACCTCGGCTTCCCAAAGCGCTGGGATTACAAACTGAGCCACCAAGTCCCCGGCCTCATTGTGGTTTTGATAGGCGTTTCCCTGATGACAAATGCTCCTTATTCTCTGTGATGATAATGAGTATCATGATGATATGATAACTTTTATCTGTACAGGGTGGAAGTATAGTTTATTAAGAGTTTGAGCAACTTATTTTATAATATTGGCTGTATTTCCTTGGCCAGATCGCTTAACTTTTCTGAGCCTCAGTTTTTGCATCTGTTAGTAGAATTGCTATAACAGTTCAACATGGAGAACCCTTATCATGATGACTGGCATACGATAAACGCTCCATAACTGGTAGCAATTTTTAAAAAATACTCTTTGTGAATGCAATAGGTATTTTTATGTGTATGCTTTCCTTTGACCCTCAAAGTAACTACTTCCAAGCTTAGGATTTGGGATCTGAAAATATAGCTTCAAAAGTCCTTCACCTCTCTGAGGCTCTTGTGTATAATGGAGTTTTCTCATGTGTATAATGGAGATAATTGTTGTTGGGGATATTTTTTATTTTTTTATAGAGTTGGGGATCTCACTATGTTGCCCAGACTGGTATTGAACTCTTGGGCTAAAGCAATCCTCCCACCTCAGCCTCCCAAAGTGTTGAGATTACAGGCATAAGCCACTGCACCCAACTTAGGGATTTCTTTTCTTTTCTTTTTTTGAGTTGAAGTCTCACTCTGTCACCCAGGCTGGAGTGTAGTGGCTCACTCATGGCCACCCCAGCGTCGACCTGCTGGACTCAGGCGATTCTTTCGCCGCAGCTTTCTAAGTAGCCGGAACTGCAGGCGCGCGCTACCTAGCCCAGCTAATTTTTTGATTTATTGTAGAGCTGAGGTCTCGCCAAGTTGCCCATGCTGGTCTCAAACCCATGGGCTCAGGCAATCCTCTCACCTCAGCCTCCCAAAGTGCTGGGATTATAGGCTTGAGCCACCACACCCTGCCTCTTTTTAAACATTTTCTTGATTTTCTTTTTTTCAGAGACAGAGTCTCACTCTGGCACCCAGGATAGAGTGCAGTGGTGCAATCGTAGATCATTGCAACTTGAACTCCTGGGTTCTCCTGCTTCAGCCTCCCAAGTAGCTGGGACTACAGGTGTGCACCATCATGCCCAGCTATATATATATATATATGTGTGTGTGTGTGTATATATATATATATTTTTTTTTTTTTTTTTGAGTTGGAGTCTCACTCTGTCGCCCAGACTGGAGTGCAGTGGCCGCTCTCAGCCACCGCAGCCTCGACCCGCTGGGCTCCGGCGATCCTTCCACCTCAGCCTTCCGAGTAGCCGGAATTACAGGCTTGCGCTACCACGCCCGGCTGATTTTTTGATTTATTGTACAGATGAGGTCTCGCTGCCCAGGCGGGTCTCGAACCTGCAGGCTCAGGCAATCCACTCACCTCAGCCTCCCAAAGGCGCGGGATTACTGGCCGAGCCCGGCTTATATATATGTTTTGTTGAGTCCAACTCTCACTCTGTTGCCCAGGCTGGAGTGCAGTGGCACACCCACAGCCACCACAGCCTTAACCTGCTGGGCTCAGGTGAGCCTTCCACATCAGCCTTCCAAGTAGCTGGAACTGGAACTACAGGCATGAGCCACCATGCCCAGCTAAACATGCAATTTCTTAAAAGCAGCCTACTGTATATATAAGAACAGATTACCATGCCTTATGATATTTTTCTTTCATATGGTGAAGCCATAACTCCCATGTATTTAACACCCTATGTTCCATGGGGACATGGAGAGAGAAAGAGTAATATGAATAGTGTAATGACTAAAAAGTTGAGTGCCCCAGAGTAAGCATGAGATGGGATACTGAAGTCTGCAGTTCCTTCAGTAGGTCTCTGTTCCTATGTGCTTCTCACAGAGTCAACATATTGCTGCTTATGCATCTAGACATATATTTTTCACCCAACATGGCCCCTCAAATAAGGCAACTGCTTCACCTTCACGTGGAGCACACGTGTAAAAACAGCTACTCATTCCAGAGCTGAAGGAAACATTGGCTCTAGTAGACCCCTTGGGAGGTGAAAGGTTTTTGCGACACTTTGAGGACAATTTAAGAGTCTATCAAAGGTAATTTTGATGAGACATGCTTTTTATCTTTTTTTTTTTTTGAGTCGGTGTCTCACTCTGTCGCCCAGACTGGAGGGCAGTGGCGTGCTCACGGCCACCGCAGCCTCGACCTGCAGGGTTCACTAGTGTGGACCCATTAATGGAAATCCAGACAGCCTCAAGTAATGTTTAGGATACAGCAGCAGGTGACAGGTTCTAGCCACCTGTCCCAAGTGGAGCTGAAATGGCCAAGAGCTAAGATAAAGAAGTAAGACAGGTCTCAGTTACTGAGATTTGGGTACAAGGCAGGGACTGGTCATCGAGGAAAATAAGATAAGAGGCTGTTCCACTTCTCATAGTCTCCCATTACCAAGTTCAGATCTGGAGTGAGAGGCAGGGCTGCAGTTACAAGAGGAGTTTTTTTGTTGAAGGTCTGTGTAGATAGGATGCTGAGCAAATTCATGTTAAGGTTGTTTGGGTAGTAAATGATAGAAACCTAAGTTACCCACAAAGCCACAAAGGGGAGTTTATTGGCTCATGTAACTGGGCAGTTGAAGAGATGGAACTACCCTCAGATATGAATAAGAATTCAAGTTATCTGGGCGAGTCTCTCTTCCCACATCTCGGCTCTATTTGCTCCTATTTGGCTTCCTTCTTGAACATGCTCTCTATGCGGCAAGATCTGCTAATCACATTCTTTTCTTTTAGCAAACCTAGAGGAACAAACAAGTCTTTCCTAATAACTCTGATAGGAAAGTCCAAGGAAAGACTCTGATTGGTCAAGTGTGAGTTACATATCCATCCCTCAGCCAATCATTGTGGCCATTGTGGCATGACATCATCCAATTGGCTGGCCCTGGGTCATATGCTGGCTTCTGTGGCAGAAAGTAGGGAAAAGACGACAGAGCAGAGGGATCCCTACCAGAACCACCTCCATTGGATTTTCCTTGGAAGGAAGAATTCTATTACCAGAGGAAATGGAGAAAGGAAGTGGGGAGCATAGTCAAAAAACAAAGATTTTTACAAGGTCTTTCCAAAAGCCAGAAATTCCAGGGACTTCTGAAGCCTATTTCTTTAGTCCCGACTTGTCTCAGCCTTGTAACTGGGCTATGGAGATTCCCTAGAGGCTCTCCCCAGGAGAACCTTGGCCCATCCTCAGTCCTACCAGGAGTCC